TATAGTCTATATATCTGTATGTGATTTTGATGTTGGTGCAGAGGTTAATATTTGATGAGCCTGGAGGTGGAGTAAGGAAGATTGTGTTGGCTACTAATATTGCTGAAACTAGTATAACAATCAATGATGTGGTTTATGTCATTGATTGTGGGAAGGCAAAAGAGGCTTCATATGATGCACTCAATAATACTCCTTGTTTACTTCCTTCATGGATATCAAAGGTTTCAGCTCAACAAGTAAGATTCTTTTTTTCCTTTTCAAATAAATAGATAATATACTTGGATACATTAAATATAATTAATTAGAAATAATTTGACCTGAATCACAATGCTTCTGCGGAGGTAACATTTAGACCAAACCCTATTTCATATACAATGCTCAAGTCCGCTGAACTTTGATTTTAGAAATTTTTTTTGCTCTATTTTATTTCTTTTGGAAATTATTGTCATAATATTTTTGATTTTATTGCATGAATATATAGTGTTGCCTAATTTAATACGTACTTGTTACAATTAATCAACAGTATGCCCTAGTGTTACCTAATTTAATGCTAGGTGAATTAGTCAACAGTATGCCACATGCCCAACCCAGTTAGGATAAAAGTGATGACCGTGATGGCAACGATCCTATATTTAAAATAGTAACATACTATTGATGAGTAATCTTACTATTAAAGTTCCTCTTATTTTGTAATTTGATTGCAACAAAATTTTACACAGCTTTAGTTGCACGTCGCCACCTAACAATCAAGTTTGTTAGGTTGATATTAATTCAAAAAAATTGACACAAGTAATCCAACATTTTCTTGATCAAACAAAAATAATCCCACAACACACTTCATACATGAATCATCCCAAGTTATGGTATGTCTCACAAAAATGTCCTGGGGATTAATGGTGTTAATTTCCGTTAGAAGTTGTTGATGTGGTTTTTGCTGGTTTTGAAAAAAAATTAATTCAAATAAGGCAAGAAAAGGACCTGATTAAAAAGAAAAAAACACCCAATTAGAAGTGTAAAAAAACAAATTTGATTAAACTTAAGAATTCATTTTTTGTCGTCGGTGTTTGAGACTTGAGAGCTCCTATATTCAAGCCCAAATGTATGATGCTTAATTCATCTTTGTCACATGCACATTTATATGTTATACAATTCTCATTTCGCATATTTACTTTTTTGCACACACTTTAATTTAAGCTTGCAGAAAAAAACTTGACAATGCTCATTTCGTTGCTAGAAAACTTTTTATTTTTTTCTGACACTTCGTATCCATGAAAAGGGAAAAAAATAAAATGTCGATTTTTTTCTTAGTTGCATCATTTTTTTTGCCAAACCAGGAAAAAAATGGCATCCTATTAGCAATTTCTAATGGAAAACTAACACCGTTAGTCCCTGGGTCATTTTTGTGAGAAGTACAAAACCTGGGATTATTAGTGTATGATGGTGTAAATTACTTGACCGGTCAAACTATACTAGACCGGGTCTAGAATAGTTTGCTTGATTTGGCAAAGTAAGAAAGGTAAAAACACGCAGGTTGACCGGTAGGACTTTAGGTGGAACACCTGTAGCCCAATTTATATTATAACGGAGATTGCACGGGTGCTTTTACAAGGGAGTAGAGAGAATGAATTCGGATCCCTACTTCTGAGAGTTACAACTGTATTTATACTAGGTTTGGGGGGACAGGACCACGTGCGCCCACGTGGAGGCACGTGTCTCGGATGTTGAGAGGTGATGGGCCTCGTCTCTTAGCTACCTTGTCACCTTGTGAGGGGAATTATTCCCTTTGTCAGGTAGTGCCTTGGATGGATTCCTCAAGCATCTCCAGCAATCCTTCACTGACACGGGTCGCTACTGTCCAAACCCTTTTAGATTCCCTTCTGCCGACGCTTTCTAACCTCAGAAACTACACCGGGTAATTTCTGAGGGATGAGTTTATCGTACTTAGGGAATGAACGGAGTGATAAGTAGTTTGACCGGTATACTTTTTCCCGAAGTACACCGGTCAAATTCGGACCGATCAAATACCCACTTGCTGACGATTAAAGTCTCCCTTTCCAGAATTTTCAAGATTGACCGGTCAACTATTTGGTCTTCTCCTTTGACCGGTCATGGGTGGAATACACCCATCAACAAGGATGAATGGAGCCATGTAATAGTTTGACTGGTATACTTTTCTAAAGTATACCGGTCATCTTTTGACCGATTTGAGTGTCCTCTGGCTGATGATTAAAGTCCCTCTCCTTAACTTTCAAGATTGACCGGTCAACTATCTGGTCTCTTCCTTTGACCGGTCATGGGTGGAATACACCCATCAGTGTACAAATTGCGACGTGGGATTTTTTTTATTGAGCAAACATTGGATTATTTATGTCAATTTTTACTTTTAAATATCTACTCTGTATTTTATTTTATTTTATTTTTAGAATAGTGTATCCTGTCAAGGGAGAAAATAGTAAATTCACAGTGTTAAAGGTTGGCTGGAGGAATAGGTGATACTTCCCATTTTACATGATAGATCAAATGTGTGTGGGGGGGGGGTGTGGAGGGGGGAGGGACTATTTACTAAGTTTTGAAGTTCGGAATGCAACTTTTCTAATTTCTACCACTGATCTTTATGCTTTGGAAACTTTTTACCTGTGTTCTCTTTGGTCCACTTTTGCAACTAATAGAGAAGGGGAAGAGCTGGACGTGTTCGACCTGGAATGTGTTATCACCTTTATCCTACATGTGTATATGATGCTCTTGCAGATTGTCAGCTGCCTGAAATTCTAAGAACACCTTTACAGTCCCTTTGTTTGCAAATCAAAAGTTTAAAACTTGGCAGCATTCCTGATTTTCTATCCAGGGCCTTGCAATCTCCCGAATTCTTGGCGGTATTTTATTTTTTGGTTTCTGGAATAACTAAAAAATAAGAATGTTCTAACTTCTAACAAATTGCAAATATATCAAATTGCTATCCGTGCAAATCCTTTTCTTGTAAACATTTCATTATCTCACTTGACTGGTAGGTTCAAAATGCTATTGAATATCTGAAGATCATTGGTGCCTTGGATGAGAATGAAGATCTGACTGTTTTAGGTCTGAACTTTGTTCAGTGCCATCACTTTTTTGTCATCATTTGATGACTACACTGCATCCTAATGTTACTTTGCTATTTCTCTGAGTTTCCTACAGGACGCTACTTAACAATGCTTCCAATGGAGCCCAAACTTGGAAAGATGATTATACTTGGTGCTATTTTCAATTGTTTGGACCCAATATTAACTATTGTTGCTGGACTCAGTGTCCGTGATCCTTTCTTGGCACCAGTAGACAAGAAAGATGTAAGTTCATTTTCAATTGCAACTTGATGGATATCATTATTTGGTTTACAATTCATTTCTTTTTATTGAGGAGTATATTCCTTTCTTTTATTATCAATAATCATGAATCAAGTGATGAATGTGTTGAATTGGTTAATATCCCTACCAAGTTTGAAGTCTCGTTCAGCTCGTAGAATAGATTATATATGTTACAAGCTAGATACATGATTTATATGCTCCAAGTCGAGTAGGAGTTGAATGCATACTCACTTGAATATGTGTTGTAACAGTGCAACACTAAACCTAGCATTGCCTTAGTTATATGGGCCTAGCCCATCTTGTGTTCCGTGTTAGTATATGTATGAATTGCATATATATGCTTTATACACCGAAATATTCAGTAAGTAGCCTAACTACAGAAGTGAAGAACTAAGAAAAAGAGCACTCCAGATTGAAGGAGTGAGATATGAAGTGTTTTGAGGAGTCTATGGAGTCCTCCACATTTTGTTTTGCTCTTACATAACCAAAAGAAGAGTTATGCTTGGCTGTTTTTTATGTTAAATTATCTGTATGTAACATCCGGTATGTCTTATTTGCAGCTAGCTGAAGCTGCAAAGGCTCAATTTTCTCGTGATCACAGTGACCACCTTGCTATTGTCCGTGCGTATGAAGGGTGGAGAGATGCTGAAAAAGATCTTTCCGGATATGAATACTGCTGGAGGAATTTTATTTCTGCACAATCAATGAAGGTTATTGATTCTCTTCGAAAAGAGTTCTACTCTTTACTCAAGGAAACTGGTCTTGTTGACAGCAATCCTTCCATTTACAATTCTTGGAGTTATGATATATCTCTTGTTCGAGCAGTTGTTTGTTATGGATTATATCCTGGAATCTGCTCCATCGTGGTAAGATGTTATTGAGCTTCTCTGCAACTGTATAAGCTGTTTACTTCAACACTCACTTTTGATGAATGAATTCCGCACATGAGTACTGCAATGTGTCCTGCAAGATGAACCACAAATGATTCCATATTCGTCTCATTATGTTTTCCTGTCAAATTCCAGTAATGTCAGCAGACCCACTGGTGAAGCCCATGAGGTAGTGAGGTTTTTATCTTGTGGCTGAATAACTTCTCGCTCACAAAAAGTCACTATGGTCTATTGTGGAATTAAATTGAGAAACCTTTGATTTGGTTCATATCTCAGTCTATATCTTGCTAGCATTGCTACTTAGTCTTTACTAACACAAGTCATCTTTTTTATTGGCATTTTAAAACTATATGTACATGTGTCCATAATTTTTCTCTAACGAACCATCGATAACAACAAAGCCCAGTTTGTTTTAGGGGATATCAAAAATGTTTCGTGTAACATGTTTCTCATGGAAAATTTTTTGGAAGGAAAATCGGTTTCCTTGATAATGTTAATCGTGGAAAATGTTTTTTTCCTGGAAATAAGATATTTTATGTATATTTATAATGTCCGGCCCAGAATAATAGAAAACGTAAAAATGTTTCCCGAAAATGTATTTTCCTTGTCAAAACGAGAAGTCATTTACTAGAAGAGTTAAAAATGAAGGAAAAGATTTCTCTTCATTTTATTTTTATTTTTTGGTGCCAAACACAAGAATCTTTCCAGTGGAATTTTAATGTTCACAGGTATGAAAATCTGAAAACATTTTGCAGGAAACAAGTGTAGCCTAAGAACCACAAGAAAGAATGTTATTCTTAAAGTTTTGAATTTAGCGTGCATTCTAATTTTAGTGATTTTTAGATTCTCCGGCTTTCCTTTTAAGTCTTCTGACTCCATACTAATATCTTTTCCTTGCAATTAAATGCTTGTTATGGCATTGCTTTTTCAGCATAATGAGAAGTCATTCTCATTGAAAACAATGGAAGATGGTCAGGTGTTTTTGTACTCTGTAAGGATATCACGTGCCTATTATCATCTTGTACCTTTGAAGTTCAAAACAAATGTATCCTCACATTTTTTATCCATATACATGTGCAGAACTCTGTAAATGCACGAGATTCTAAGATACCATTCCCTTGGCTAGCTTTCAACATGAAAATTAAAGTTAATGCTGTTTTCCTTCGGGATTCTACAGCTATCTCTGATTCAGTGTTGCTGTTATTTGGTGGAAGCATTTCAATGGGCGATTTGGTAAGTGCTCCTTTGGTATTCACTGAGGCTCCTTTAATGTTGGTGGTTGTTAAAGCTTGCAAGGTTACCATATTAGTAATATGTTTAATGTCGATATCAAACAATCTGTTGTGCAGGATGGCCATTTGAAAATGATGGGGGGATACCTAGAATTCTTTATGAGCTCTTCAACAGCTGAAATGTTCCAAAGTTTGAGGAGAGAGGTTGATGACCTGATTCAGACTAAAGTAAGTAAATGCTCCAAAGCAATTTGGGCTATCATTTTTGTTATCTTGTTCCTTCCTGCCTCCAAAAAAGGTTCCTTGTTACCAATCACGATTATTAAGAAAATGAAAATTGCATGGTTGAGATGTATGCAAAGGAGATAGAGATAATATGAACAACACAATTCTTTCCTCAAAAGGAGAGGGGAACCTGATTTTGGGAGGGACGAAAAAGAAAAGGACGGAGTGAGTAGTCATTCTATTTTACAAACACATGATTTTATTAGATGATCTAAATGCTTTATAATTAGTCATAATGTTCAATATTCTGTCTTTATTGCTAGAAACTGAAAACAAAAACATTGTTATCAAACACGTCAAAAAATTATTCGTAGGTAATGATAGCTTTTGTTAGACAGATCGGATCAAAGCAAAACAGACAAATATTTTATTGTTGTGAACTTAACTGGATTCTTTGTGTTCTCTAAATATAAATAGAGAACAAACCAACACGACTTTTACTAACCAACACAACTATTACAAAAACCAACACACCTATTAACATTACAAACTACCCATAACAGCTTTAGAAACTACCCAACTGTTTTTTATTTATTAAATATGAAAGACACACTAACCAACTCCATACTAACCGACTCGAACATTAACCCATTACCCATTTGGTTATATGTGAACAAACCCGATTAAATCTAACAATCATGCCCTAATCGTTGTTTGTTCACACCAATCTTCTTTGCAATGCTGGTTCATCATCATTTTGAATCGAATTTGAAATGTCTTCCTTTTGATCCCATTTTGGACATTCGTTTGCCCAAGCCGATTGCACTTGAAACACCTAATGTGACTCTTATCCCGCTGAAATTGACCACCATCCTGACTTTTCCCGGACCCCCGACCTCTACCTCGGCCACGTCCAAAGTCTTCTCGGTTTGACTTCCCACAATCACAATGCTCAGTTTTGTGCTTCTTAACCTTATCTTTTCCCTCACTTTTAGTGAATACTCCCTCCGTCCTAAAACTTTATTCCCATGTCGGTTTACGAGGTTTGACTGAAGTTATTTTCAATTCAAATTATATAATCAATTAATCATAAGAGGTGGCATGACTATATTATTTTATCAAATAACTAACGAAAATAGGTAAAGAAAGTTGTTAAAATTTGACCGTGTGAATGGTATTTGGGAAGAAAGTTTTAGGACGGAGGGAGTAGTAGTTTACCTTGCATATCTCCTTCCTCGGGTTAAGGTTGACAAACTGTGAACTATTCTCCCTTGTAATCACAATCTGTCTATTTTTTGTTTTCTCCCATTGCACAACTTTTATTCCTTCGACAATTTTCACAAAATTCTTAACTTCAATTCCTTCCCGGGTCGTAAGCCACTTGCTATCGACCATCAACCAGAAAACAAGCACATACTTTTTTGTCTTCTAAGCTGCTAAATGAAAGCTTCCCTGCTGATTCGTTTTTCCCACACTTTTTTTGGTTTTCTGCCCAAGAAAAAACTAGCCACTTGCTGTTCTTGTCCTAGGCGAGGAAGAATGTGGTCGAAGATTCTTGTTCTGTTGTAGAGGAAGTATCTAATGCTTTGTTTTATGATCTGGCTTCTGCTTCCGATCACTCACACCCTTATCGCAAACTGGATCGCTTTGATACCAATTGTTAGACATATCAGATCAAAGCAAAACAAGCAAATATTTTATTGTTGTAAACTTGGACTGGATTCTTTGTGTTCTCTAAATATAAATAGAGAACAAATCAACACGACTTTTTCTAATCAACAGTCAACACAGCTATTACAAACCAACACACCTATTAACATTAGAAACTACCCATAACTGCTTTTAAAAACTACCTAACTTTTTTTTCCAAATTAATTAAATATGAAAGACACACTAAGCAACTCCATACTAACCGACTCGAACATTGACCCATTACCCATTCGATTATATGTGAACAACCCCGATTAAATCTAACAGGTGTATGGGAACAACTTCAAGGTCCCTGATGCATTTTTAAAGTGATTACTAAGGTCTTTAAATTGTACTGTAAATACTGATGGGTGACGACCCCAAAATGACCTTTCCAACAGAAGCTATTAATTAATATTTTAAGATCGCGGGATCCATAGTTATGAATGGCGAGTGGCGAGTGGCGGGCGAGCGGTTGTTTTTTGTGGCGAGTGGCGTGGCGAGTGGCGGGCGGTCAAATGGCGAACCAAAAAAAGCGAACATATACATACATACATACATACATACATACATACATACATACATACATACATACATACATATATATATATATATATATATATATATATATATATAATGCATGGCATATGAAAAAGTATTAAACAATATATAATTGTCAAAGAAAAACAAAACATCTTGCTGGCACCAGAAAACAAACATTATCGTTGAACTTCTTTCTCCAGCACAATGTTTTCTCTTGTCTTCTTCTTCTCAGCCATAAAATTACTAATCTCCTCCTTCACACTATCGGACACTTTGTCGCACGCCCTTACATCCGTATACCCACCAACTATATGTCGCTTTGCTATACTAATTCCTCCAGTGTAGCGTTGATCACAAAAAATACATATAGTATTATTCGTATTTTTTGGATTTTCTAACCGAACATATTTCCAAGCGGGATCATTTCTATTTCTTGTGGAGCCGGTGGAGGAAGTGCCTTCCATTGGGGTTTAGGAGAAAGCTGTTACACAATATACCTGAATACCTGCTCCTGCGAGGTGCGAGTCTGAGAGGTTGAAGAACTGGGAGGTTGACTTCCGATTTAGCAGCGCAGACTTCAGATCAGAGTTTCAGAGAGGGAGGAGAACCGACTTTGGCAGGGAGTATATCGGCGATGAGAGACGGAAGATTGGAAGAGGATGGCATCGATCGATTAAGGTAATAGTAAACCTACTTAAGGGTAATGGATCGAATTATTTAATTTCAAATGGGCTTAAGCCCAATTAACTTTTAATTAACGCCAGATCTGACTGGCGACTTTAGCGCTCGCCACACGCCATAGGCGACTGTTAGAATGGCGACCGCCTTTTCTCGCCTCAGGAATAACGCCATGCAGGACCCAATTCAGGCGTTTCAGCCTCGCCACAGCGCTATAGGCGCCATAGGCGACCATGGCGAACGCCATTCATAACTATGGCGGGATCTATGAAGAGCATAGACAATTGATAGGATATTGAAAGAAAAGAATATAGGAAAGTGGGAGGAAAATTTCTCCCTGGCTTTCAGGCAAGTTGGTAAGGGCATTTTTGGGTTGATATATGAAATAAAAACCCTTTTAATCAGAAATTCATATGTTGCCACTGGATTGTCACCCATTTGTATTTACAGTAAAATTTGAAGACATTTGTTTTCACTATGAAAATACAGACCTCGGAGTTGTTCCCACAAAACCATCGTCACCTTAGGAGTAATTTTTTGCAAACACATTATGCTGTTTCTCATTCATTAAAAACCGTGAACATATAATAAAAACCGAACTCAACAATTAAGGGCTTGTTTTTTTCACCTGATTTGTTTGGTTCTCATCTCATTGAAATAAATTTTGATTTGGTGTGATCTAATTGTAGTTGTAATTAAAGCTATTTTTTATCTGATTTGATTTGATCCTCTAATTCCAATAAGAATAAGTAATAATGTTGAAGAGAACAAGCTCTAAATGTGCTATTTCCAGTGTATCTTCGTCTATTACCTCTTTCATTTCCGATAATAATACATTTGACCATTAGATAAAAAGTCAATTGATTGATTCTTTGATGTATGTAAGCATATTATTCATGCAGCTCTCACATCCCAAGATGGATATCCATGCATATCATGAACTTCTGTCTGCAATACGATTACTTCTCTCAGAAGATCAGTGCAGCGGCAAATTTGTTTTCAACCGTCAAATGATACAACCATCCAAGCCATCACCCATTGCCGCACCATCACAAAAACTCTCAGTATCAAGAACCGAAAATGGTCCTGGGGGAGACAATCCCAAGAGTCAACTACAAACTGTATTGATTCGAGCAGGCTCTCCAGCCCCCATCTACGTGACAAAGCAACTCCCTGGTGGCCAGTTTCGGTGCACCTTGGAGTTGAATGGGACCCAAATAGTCGGACGATCCTGCACCAACAAGAAACAAGCCGAAAAAGATGCAGCGGCCGAGGCTCTGGAATGGTTGCTCGGTGAAAACCGTGCTTCCACTGACCAAGTCTCACTGTCTCTCAAAAAGAGCAAGAGAGATCACACATAAAGAAGGCTGAAGAGCTGTATATGTAAGTCCGTTTATATTTCTATGCACAGATAGCGTGGTTATAGTTACTTTTTCCGTCTCAAAAAGAAATTTCAGTTCACTACTACTATTCACTGGAACCAACTCTGACCACTTTCTTTTCATATTTTTATTTCTAATTTGATAAAATAAGTTTGTCACCTTTTGTTTTGTAGAAATTTTGATGTAATGTTTAAATAAATTGAATTTAAAACAGTCAAGCATCTTAACCCCCGACGGTAAAGTCTTTTTGGAGGTGGTGAGATGCCATTGCCGCTTGCTGGAGCGCTCAGTTGGGCTCAGGTATGTTAATTGGTGGAATAGGGTTGAGTTTGCTCATTTGGTTAAACACTAGGTGTGGAAATGGAAATTGAAGGGCAAAATGGGAATATTTCACAGGGGGCTACATAGTCGAATTAAGGCTTTGACAGAGAGACGGCGTAACTAAATTCACGGGTCTTACTTAGCTAGCGTGATATGTATGGGCGGGTATGGATGGGAGGCCCTGAAATGTACCCGACCCGTCAAGTCTCGTTGTACATTTTTAGAATCAGACCCATATGCTTGTAGTTCTTAAATGATGATTATTTTGGTTAAAAGTGATAATGGGGTAATTATTGTTACTCCTAGTACTTATTAGGGAGTATATTTATATTAGATGCTAGGTTTTCACTACATTTTTTTGTTTGAATAATACTAGAGTAGGAAGTATTTGTGGCGTGTTCATAATATTTATCTTGAGAAATATTGTTTTTTTTTTAATTTTTTATTTTTGTTCTGTGTAAAAATTGTCCCTGAAAAGGGATCATCACCTCGTTGGTGTTCTCTTTATTCTCCACTTAGTTGTACAGTTTTGATGCTTCTAATACTTTGTGATGGATCTTGGGTAAATTTCACAAATAGTATTCATTTTTATTTCATTTCGGTACATAAACTTTTAAACTCTATCACAAAGTGCGGGCCTGGTTGAGAATAGCGTTAGAGATTAGCATCAGTGTTTTGAATAAAATTTTAACGATGCAGATTACTTTGAAAACACTAACGCTAAACGCTGCCCGTCTTTTCAAGACTCTAACGTTAATCTCTAACGCTATTTCCAGATAGGCTCTGCATTAATTTTTAACATTCTTTCATCAAATAGTCTTTGGACCAAATTTTTTCTTTTTCTTTCTTTTTCTTCTTTTCCTTGTGTCAACCATCTCCCTATTTCTTGTTCATTTTTTTTCTTTTAATTAATAGATTTATTACCTTAAAGAAACAGATTTATTTTTTCAATTTTTTTAGAGAAGATTTATTTTGAAAACTCCTTTTTGAAATTTATTTTCTTCTCTATTCTTGGTATCAACTTTTCATTATCTTTCTTCATATTCCTCTTTTTTATTTTTATCTGATTTATAGATTTAATTTTTCTTTAGATTTGAAATTTCATTTTTAGATCTTTTAACTAAAAAAGTTAATTGATTTTTTTTTTAAAATTTGAACGGGACTAATTGAACATTTGGCTGAACAACGGTGAATGACAAACAAATTGCACAGCTTAATGAATCCAGCCAGGCAAAAATACCACCATTAATTAAAAAATTGCTACTCTATCAGACTTCTTTGGTTTGAATGTTTTGATATGCTGCAGATATGAAGGAAAAAAATAAATATCATCCACTTCTTTTAATGAAATATGCTGCTACAATTTATGCTTTATAAATGTTGATTCCATATGCTCAAAATAAAATAAAATTCCAAATGCAATTCCAAAAGTAATATGGTTCACAGTTAGTGTCGTAACCAACTGAGTGTCTATCTCCTGAATTTTAGAGGTATAATAAGATATGAATTTTGAAATAAAAAAAATGATATAGGTTGAAATTTGAAACATAATTGTTTTGGAGAGATTTCTATATTAATGTCTCCCAAATTTGAGAGATATTTGAACATTATACTTGGATAATTCATAATGTCTAGATATATTAAACTCGATACCTCTTTTCATTTTACCAAACACTCTCTCTTATCTCTTTTTCTCACTTAACACACTCTTGAATTTATCCTTCCCGAAAAAAAGGATTGTACTTTTTCATTTTGAAATAAAATTTTCACATTCTTTTACACCATATTACTTTATGCATCTGATAGATATCTTTATACGGAGCATTTTCTTATTTGAGTTATTTAAAAAACCATTTTTTTATGGAAAACATTGTATGGTCTATATTATTCTTCTTTTCATTTCGCCATGGGACCTAATTTTAAATCTTTTGAATAATTAATACGAAGTAAATATTTTCTTTTAAAAAATTCATGTTAAATTTATATAAGAAGATATATATGGGAAAGAAATTTGTCGTACAATATTCTTTCTCTCTTAAACAAATATGGAGTTTCAACTAAATACTTCTTACTCTTTAATATTTTTCTTAAAATTCGTAATGTCATATAGACACACACACACACATATGATTGACTCTACTCAGATGAAACCTTACGGTGAGATGACATGCTTCTGTGAGATGACGCCAAGCTCACTACACTACACTATAAAGCTCACCAATGGACAATGCAAAGCTCACCTGAAAATAAAGTAAAGTTCACCACTTTGAACACCAAAACTCACCTTTTTTATTTTGAAAACTAAAAAATTAATTAAAAGTAAAAAATAGCAACACCGGTCAACCACTGGTCAGCCGCGGCGGCGGCGCGATGACAGAGTTGCGGCGGCGGCGGAGGCCGACGTCGGCAGGTCGGCGGCGGTCAAAGGTGTGTGGCGGTCAAAATCTAGTCAGCGCTCCTTCCTTTGATTTTATTTTTTTCAAAAAAAATTCAAAGTGTTGAAAAAATATGGTGAGCTTTGCCTTACAGTTGGGTGAGCTTTGTAGTTCTCCATGGTGAGCTTTGCAGTGACCAGTGGTGAGCTTTGCGTCATCTGACAGTAGATTGTCATCTCACCGTAAAATGTTATCTCAATGGAGTCAATCCCTGTACATATATATATATACACACACACACATACTCCCTCCGTCCCTAAATATTTATTACACTTGTATTTTGAGGCAAAATATCAAGTTTTTTCAATTCATTTTATTTACATATTGGTATAGAAATAAAAAATAAAATTTACATATCAAAAAACCACATGAAAAGTTTTTCAAAATAAGAGATGTCAAGAATATTTTATTTTATCAAATAACCAATGAAAACATAGAAATAAACAAAAGTTTCCGCGACTGCTGAAAAAGCAAGTGTAGCAAATATTTTGGGACGGAGGGAATATATATACGGAGTATGTATGTGTATGTATATGTGTGTGTGTGTGTATATATATATATATATATATATATATATATATATATATATAGAGAGAGAGAGAGAGAGAGAGAGAGAGAGAGAGAGAGAGAGAGAGAGAGAGAGAGAGTAACCCAGCAAATATTTCCTAATGATCCAATCTAGCTTGTCAAGAGAAGACAATGGAGGGTGGTCTTTGTTTCAAAGGTTGAGGACTTGGGGGGCCGCATGGTGAGGGTCTTACAAATGTAGGTATACATTATTAGCAGTACATTATTTATGATTTGTGATTCATCAGAGAGAAAAGATAAGATGTTACTTAATCATGTGACTTATAAAATAATAAATTTTTTTTGTCTTTGAATCCACAAGTACAGTTGTCCCTTTTGGTATACAAATTCCATAAAGGAATGTGGGGGCTTCCAAAATTTATCTTGCCTTATGCAACAAAATTGACCCTTTAACATTCCCCAAAAAAATTAGAAAAACAAAACTCGGAGCATCTTTAATGCAATTTTCTTAGAGGGTTACATTGTTTGACGTATATATATATTAGTATAATATACTCCGTAATAAACAAATTCTTATGTGGTTTTTGGGTCCATACTCACTTTATGAATTTTAGTACAAAAATACCCCGGAGTATCATGCAAGAGTTGAGTTTTTGTAAAAAAGAAAACATTCACTCGTAAGTCATGAAAAATGTGAGAAGATCCATATTTCTCATGTGGATGTTTGGACTACGCGGAAGCACAATTCTCTATATATATAGAGGACGTTCAAGGTCCCGTTTAAAAACTACGTAGTTTTTATGAGCTTTTGATTCACTAAAATAATGTTTCTCGTGTTTGACAATATACTTTTGTTTATATATTATGACTTTTGCAGTCTAAAATGAGAGCCAAACGTGCTATTAAACAAAGTTAAAAATATATGTTTTTCGATTCAGCTTAAAACTTCTATTTTTTCAATAATCTACCACACTCTCAAACACCCTCATAATATGTTACTTTGTTTGGCGTACATAATATATACTCCGTATTATTTCCCATCAATATCCGTTGATTAATATGTTTCGATTATGAGTACAATGACAAATTTGAATACTTTTAGATAGTACAAGGACCTCTAGATAGTTTGTCCCATATTTGTATCATAATCAGTCCTCATAAAACATCTTTTTTAAAAAAAAAAATTATTGAAGAACTTTTTTTCCATATATATAATTTTCTTCACGATGAAGCATGATTGAAAGAGGGTGAAACACTTTTTTTTGACAATCCAAAACGTAAGATTTAGAGCACTGGAAATACCCGTGAAGCCTCGGGGCTTCAAAATTTCTCTCTTTGTCACGTCAGCTTTAACTTACCTTACATATTCAGTGGAAATGGGTTTGAAGCCCCGGTGCTTCAAACAGGGGCTTCAAACCTTCTTTTTTACATTTTTAAATATACATCTTCTAAATTTAAATTAATAAATTTTAATTAATATATTATTTAATTATATTGAATCAAGAAGAATTAAAAAAATTACATTCATTAAATTTAAAGAAATTGAAGCAACAATAATTTAAAAAAATTACATTCATTAAATTAAAAAAAAGAAAGCGACAATAATAAAAAAAGTTACATTAATAAAAAAACTAAGGTAAATTATATTTGGTCTTGATCTCTTTTTATCTTTTCTCGAGATCGTCAGGAAAGAAGTCGGAGCCAGAAGGATTTATGTTGAAAAGAGACTTGGTGAATTGAAGAAGATGTGAAAAAGAATGATGAGAATTGGATATTGAAAGGTGTGAGAATTGGAGGAGATAGAATTTGAAATTTATTAAAAGAATTAATTAGTTTTTTCTTTTTTGCTTCAAACGACTAATTTAGCCGTTATAGGGGAGGGGAAGCTGCGTCAAACGTATGACGCCGGAGTCTTAACGCCAGGATGAAGCCTCAGGGGGGCGGTGTTTAACCCCCCTGGGCGTTAAAGTCGCTGTGACGCCCCTTGCTCTTAATATAGAACGGGAGTGCGTGAATTTATATTCTATTTTGCTTAACAAAATGTTGAATTTGATGGTTTTCTCTTCTTTGGCTATTGTTAATTTTTATTTTACATTTTTAGATTGCGGTTCATCAAAAAATTAATGAATAAACGAAGATTTAAAAAACTACACTGCCGTAATTTGCACAAAGTACTGGATTGGATTTTTTATTCAAATTATTGTTTTCTCGTGTGTGCAAATTTTTGTTAAAATCAAAATATTTTTCATAAATTTAAGTTAATTTTTAAAAATATATTATGTTATATTAAAATTTATGTAGATGAAATAAATTTATAACATTTGTGGTTCACCATTATAAAAGAAATAAAAAACGGATCGAACCAGGAAAGTTATGAGAATAATTGACGTGAATTTATAAACAAAAGAGAGTGTATATTAGTACCATATCTGAATTTGCAATGTTTCTCGTACGATCGCATGAATACTCATTTTTGAATAAGAGCATACTCATTTTCGAGTAGCTGAATATTTATTTTTAACATAACTGAATTTAAAAAAGGAATGAGTGTTCAATAGTTAAGAAAGTGAGGAGAAAGTGGAGGAAACCACATAAGATGCTTGATCAAATGCCATGAAGAATGACAATTCATATATTGGAATGGCAAACATTGATACAATGTAGCACATTTCAACTAATAAAAAATAGTATAGTCCGATAGTGGCAAGGCAGTATGGCAATACATTTTTATTATATGCATGTTATTCACTCAGTGAAGCTTAGGTGTATTTATTTTTAGGATTTTTGTAAATATTTGCATGTTGTTGTAAAGGTTTATATTGTATCTTGGCCCCTTTATTTTTTAAAACGGTTCTTATTTCAAATTTTAGTATATTTATTTTGTAATTTGATCTTTCAATTATATCATTTGCGTCCAATTGAAAAGAATTGACAAAATACAAAGTACCTTATTATATCAATGTAAAATGGATAAAGTACATTACAATAACTTTATTTCAATATATAGTCAATTTATTCAAAAGTGGAAGTATTTTATTGAAAAAAGTAAAAAATACAAGAGAAAGTGTATTAAAAAAAGAAGAGAATATAACTTAATAATTTAAAGTATATTTTATTGAAAAAAGTAATTTTAATTAATGTAAATATATAAAAAAATTTGCACACAAATAGTTAATTAAATATTTTTTGAGATATACTCCTTAATATATAAGAAATATGTCATTTCCCAATGTATCATTTAAACTATGAGTTTAATGCACCGTTCCCCCCCGTGATTTCCTAAATGTTCACCGGTGCCCCCTCTGCTTCTAAAACTTACTCCATCCCCCCCACTAATTCTAAAATCCTACTCCATTGCCCCCTCCGTTTCTAAATCCGTAAATTTTAACGGAGCGTGAAGGAAACGCATTTGATATGCGTTTGGTAGAGTATTTTCTCAGCTTTATTGCACCATTCCCCCCTGTGGTTTGCTAAATGTTCACAGGTGCCCCTCTGGTTCAAAAAATTACTCCATCAGAAAACCACGACTCATTCAATGTGGCTTTTTTCTGGTTGACATGTTTCTTTTTTGGTGGATGCAACAATTGATATTCTCTCAT